GAAAACACCTTGCATTTTAGAAAACATTTTGGATCAATGTTACATGGTAGTAAATAGATATTAGTTTCATCAAGCCAAACAAAAAGAATTTATAGAATTCAACAACTCAACAACTAAACAATAAAACACAAAAAATAACTATGGAGATTCTAAAGCACTCTGTAATTATTTTTTTTTTTATGCTTATTTAAGAGAAAATATGAGAGTTCCCTACCTTGCATTTATGGGTCAATAGCTTTTGTAATAAACAAACAAGATAGGCTGCATTACAAAATTGACACATGTATCATTGTCTGTTGAAAAATAATAATAAATAATGATGTGTATTAAGGAATACTATGAGTAACAAAATGCTAACAATATAGTGTATTTTATTTTGAGTCTAATTGTCTTGGCTAGAAATAACCTTGTTTAGCATAGGTTGTTCATTATTAAATTAAACAGATAATCAACCAAAAAAAAAATTCCAAAAATTGCAAACAAAAACACCCAAATTTAATCAAAATTTAGCAATACAATATCAAAAATACAGAAAATACCAACCACAACAAAGCCAAAATTCAAAATTTGGCTTACATATCCAAAACTACAAAAAATAACTAGAAGAGCAACAAAATCCAAATTTTAAGGTAAATATAGCTATCTTTTCATATATAACACTCAAAGTTTTACATCCATTTTCTAATTACATTTCATATGTCCCTAAAGTCTTTAAAATATTTAATCTCTCCTTCGATCATATGAAATTTTTAACCGAAATACCCTTGATTAAAATGAAAAAAAAAACCTAAAGACTTTAAGTTAAAATACAAGTCATGTGACTTTAAGTGTTTTTTTCTTGGCATTTTTATAAAGGATATTTTGGTTAAAAAAACTCATGATCGAAAAAAATGATTGAAATGACAAATTGAATATTTCATAATAGTTTATGGATAGATGAAATATAATTAAAAATCTAAATATATGTTAGAGACTTTAAATATTATATAAAAACAGATAGATATATTTACTCAAAATTCTATTTAATTAAAAAAGATAGAAAGTAAAAATCTACTTAGATTCTAATAAGTGAGATCCGCAGTGTTAGTAAAGCAACATGCATCATCAGTCCATCATTCTTCAAGTTAAAAGCCCAAGACGCAGTTCCCCGCATATCACTAGAATCATAGCAAGGTCCTTCTTGTTGTATTGGCCCACAATTAACCCCACCTTGTCCACATGCCCAATCAATAGCTTCTTGCAGTGTTTGATAAGCCGCATTGTTCTGGGCTACAAACCATAGATCCCTTGGTGCCCTTTGGCCCATCAAACATTTTGACTGTGACAAAGCCGAACAGAGAAAAAGTTTATCCGATTGCCGAGATTTTTCAACAAGATAGGCCTCTACAGCCTTCTGAAGTGTAAGAATGGGGTGGCTTTGAAACCTTAAATCCGTCTAAATAAAGAAGGAAAAATCAAAATGATCTTTATAAATTTAAACAGGAAAAGGGAGAGATTGCAGTCAACATAGGAAAAATAATTACCAAGATGTTCAAAAACCAACATTAAAAAAATAAAAAAAAATTAAATGGTTTTGCTCAAAGCAACAAATTAAAAAATAAACAATCAATTTCTCCTTGAAAAATAAACATTAAACAATTAGGATTTTTTTTAGAAGTTTCAAAGTCACAACTTAAAAAACTTTAAAAATACTGAATTTTAATGTATTTTGCTCGAAACCATAAATTAAGCACAAACAATCAAATTCTCCTGAAAAAATCAACAAAAATTTGGGTTTTTTTCGGAGTTCCAAATTAATCACTTAAAAAACTTAAAATCCTCAATTTTTTTAATTTATTTTTCTCGAAACAACTAATTAAAAGATAAACAAGCTGTTTTGTTTCGAAGTAAAAAATAAACATTTCAAAAATTAGGTTTTTTTATTTATTTTCAATCACAGATGAAAATTTTTCAAAAAACTAAAATATTTTATGAATTTTTCTTGAAATTAGATAAATTAATGTTAATCTCAATATTTTATGAATTAAATACATTTGTGTTTCAAAAAAATTAAAAATTAGTATATGCTTCACATATCTCATTTTGATTTCAAATCATCCTTGATTCATCTTTAATTTGATCATAAATAACCACACAAATGTTTAATAAATAAGAAAACACAAAAAATAGTATTATTTCAAGATATTTTATTGTAAAATTCAGTGTTTTTTTTTAGGGCTCTCTCTCTCTTTGAAGTGAGAGAAAACACAATTTTGATAATGGAATGGGCTATGTTTAGCTGACATGCGGGGTGTATATATATATATATAAAGTATAATTTTTTAATAATGAAGGTGCATATTATTTTTGTCATCAAATTATAAGATGTTTAAAGCAATTTATCCCTAAAAAAAGAGCAATTTATTACTGTTTTGAAATATGTCATTGCATGGTTATGATATGATTTAGTTGACTACTTTTTTTACTTCCTGAATGTCATTCCTAAATTTAGTAGTCATATTTTCCAAAAACTTTCTGTTTGAACAGCCCACAAAAATTCGGAATTCTCTGTATGAAAATTAGTTTTTGATTGGATCAACTCTTTTCTGGTTTCTACAGCAGACCCATATTTATGAACACTTAATAATGATAATAATAATTGCAGTTCACTATTTTTTAATTTTTTTCTTAATTATGTATATAAGTTTTATTTTTTTTATTTAAATACATTGATTTTTTCAAAACTGACAATTATTTCGTTATTTGATGACATATATGTTATTATTATAATATTAAATTATGATTCTGCATTTCTTGAAAAAAAACTTTTAAATTTTTTAAATTTTTATTTATTTATTAATAAATAGTAAAATAATTTGGAAGAGAAAGTTTCTTAAAAAAAAAATTATAATTTAACATTTTAGGACATACGACATGCCATCAAATAATGAATCAATTGACATAAATTGAATGAAATTTTTTTATAAAAAAAAATTGAATGGAATTATATGATTGATAATTTTAAAAATTTTCATATATTAAAAAAAAAACTAAAATATATGTATCCAATTAAAAAATTGATATATTATTAAAAAAAACTTGTTAGCAGAAAAGAAATTTTATGCGGTTACTCAGACCACAGAAAGAAATTCCTTTGAAAAAGCTTTGTGCGTTATATATCTCTTCAGCCCAAGTTTTTGACGCAGTAACATCCAGTATGCCTTTTTTTTTTTCCTTAAAGACGGAACATGCCGCCTCCCTAAAGCTGGTCTATTAACACAAAAAAGTTTGTTAGAAAGAAAAATAAAACTTAATATCAATTGAATTATAATTTAACGAGGATTTCACATAATTTCCACTATTGCATGCTTAATAAAGAATATTATTTGTAAGCACATATCGCATCATGAATCTCTTTTTTTAACTTATTTTTTTCTTTTTCTTTCAACAAAAGCCTCCAAGTGTATATATATATCACGATATTCAAATCTCTTAAGATGATTATTAGGATAGACTCAATTAGCTAAATCAATACTCAACTTGATTAATGATGGTAAAAGAAGAAAAGAAAAAAACAGTGAAGAGATTTAGGTTTGATATAAAACCCAACGATCCCACAACTTAAAATGATTGATATTCATTCGTGGCCATTGAAAGATGGAAAAAAGAGAGAGATACTTGAATAGCAATATAGCATCAACCTTGTCTCAAGCAGTCTAATCATATCAATTAATTTAATCTCTGGATACATATCCAATTTAGACTTTGTGAAATGAATTTTTCAAAATCCAACTTTAATGATCGAAAATAATACAAGAGTTTGTGAAATCTAACAAAGGAAATCCAGAATATCGGATAAAATTTCTGAACATGTCATCTTGAATACAAATGAAGAAAGGGAAGAAAACTAGAGAAAGATCAGTCAAATGATTAGGCGATTTTTGAGGTTAGATTTTGGATTACCATGCTGATAAGTTAAAAAAAAAAAAACATTTTTTCAGTTCATATATATACGCACAGTGGTCAACTGGTCATGGTCACTGGATCAGTCTAATGCTACATCAATTGGGACTTCATCTCCGTTTGATGGGAAACTAGCCGTGATCCCTAAATTAACTTCTTTTGGTATTTGTTGTCACTGCTAATCAAAGTTGCTGCTTTTGTCAATGCCCAGGATCATTTGCTAATTGAATTTGGCTTGCTGCTAATAGTACGCCTTCATTAATACTAATTAATTTGTTCAAAAAAATGATTGTAACAAAAGGAAAAAAAAAAAACGATGCCAAATTCTGTAATTTTTTTTAAATAATTGTGTTTGGTTTCTCCGTCCGATCAATTATAAAAAAATTAGCCTCGACTTTTAATTTTGGGATATCTACCTTAGGGATAAAAAAAAAAAAAACAATTGTAAGTTGCATGCCAAGTCACAAACCAAAATTAAGGAAAAAAATAAATAAAATAACAACGTTGACATAGGATAAGGTGTAGATAGGAAATGCAAATTAATTAGTGTGCAAAAGCACAGTAATGGAGAGAGGACCCAGCAGGCTGACCAACTCAAACCTCCCGCCAAGCAATTTGTTAACCAAGTCAAACAATAATAGATTTCCCATTGAAAAAAGCAAAACAAAACAAAACAAAAAAGGTAATGACATTCCCAACCTCAACATTATATGTGTGACCATTTCTTGGCTTTGAATGTTTCAAAGGTCAACACATTTGCTTTCCCCTTTTGGCCCTTTCTTCACAAAAATACTCTTCTTTCGTAGCACAAGTACTTCGAGAAAACCGTGAAATACAATACAATTAATCCATCCGTGAACCATTCACCTTTGACCCGTTAATTATCACCAAATATTCTGTGTTCCTTTCCCTTTCCCCACACTCTATTTTCTTGCTTCAATCAAACACCCTTTAGCCATATACATATATATAGGGTTTTCTTTCTGCATGATCAGCCATCCACCTCTTTTGTTTCAACAACTCTCATGCAATATTTGACAAATATTATTGTCAAAAGCATGAAAGATCTAGAGGATTTTCTATGGGGTTTCTCTATTATTTCTCTTGCTCTATACTTTCTTCGAAGACTAAGAAAGGCCATTTCTATGGCTTCGTTAAGCCTTACTTCTCCTCGATCTCCTTCTTTGCCTTCTCCTCCTCCTCCTCTCTCATGGGTTAACCAGTTTTTTCTTGAAAAAAGAAAAGCCCCTTTAATGAAAGACGATTCAGAAACAACAGTTCTTTTGCACGATCAAGAAGGTAGCATTTCACAAGAGAGTCAAAGGCGTGACATGAAAAGAAAAGGTTCGCATTATGAAGAGAAAATCATGCAAGAAACTATGGCTTATGAAGCATATCAAAAGGGTTTGCATGACAAGAGCTCCCAAAAGAATTCTGATGTTTTGATAAAGAAATTAGGGCCTGATTCTTTGAGAATAGTAAAGGTTAGTGAAGGAGATCATAATAAGGGTGCTACCAAGCTGAAGAAGAGGCCTGGAAAGCTGGTTTTGCCAGAATATTGTCCAAAAGTGGAATTTGCTCTAGTAGATAGGAAGTTGGAGAATAAAGAGTTTCAGGTTCAAGGCAGAGATTTCTTTCTGGCTAGTAAGAAAGGAAGGAGAGAGGTCATGGAAGATGGGTATGGCATCATGATGGATATTTTGGGAGATGCAAAGCAGGTAGGTGATCTAATCTCTCTCTCCCTCCATCATCGGCATTAGGTATTTCTTAATTCATAAATTAATCAGTAAATTGTAACTTTAAAAGAAACTTAGTAGTATTTCTGTTTGAACTGCTCCATTATAACTAATTATTGGATAGCTCCTAAGTTTTTAGTATTATTCTTTAATTTGGTTCTAATTAAGTTTTCTGCGTTATCTTTCAAGTTTTTTTCTTCTTCTTCTTTTGATTGATCCTTTTTAGGGTTTTCCCAAAGCTTAATTTTGGTTGATCTTTGTGGTTATGTTCAAAAGATCTTGACCCCTGCTTCTTCTATTCTGTCATTAGGCATTTTTTGCTGTGATAGATGGACATGGAGGCCGTGCCGCGGCTGACTATGTTGCTGAAAATTTAGGAAAGAACATTGTGAAAGGCCTTCAAAATGTTGGGTGCAAGGAAGATGGTCAGTTAGAGCAGGCTATTCGAGGAGGCTACTTGGTCACAGACAGGGAGTTTCTTAGCCAGGTAAACTTTCAACTTTCAATGTTGAACATGACATACCATCTAGCTATAAACAATGAATAGTTTGACTTGGTCTCATTACGTACATCAAGTTTGGATAGGCATATTCGCATTTCACAATATTTTTTTAGACTTGTTATTTAATAAGCCAACTAATTTACCATCAACATCGCTCTTTTTCCATCAAGAGATTAATCTAGTGTTGATTAATGGACTTGAAGTTGAGACCAAGAGAGTTGGAACTGTCCAAATCAAAATTCACATAGGAAAAAAGAAAGAAAGAAAGCATACATGACCTGCATGTTCATGGAAGTGTGGTACATAATTTATTGACCTCAAGGTATACTTTGACATGTTCTCAAAATTTGAAGTCTATACATAGTTCATTTTACAAAATATTGAAGGATGGAATCGATCCCTTTTGTTACGACCATAACTAAAAACTAATAAAATATGTCAGCAACAATCCATTTGCGGGAGAAAACATGGAGCCAACTACCAAATAATGGTATTTTACTGAAAAGACGAGAATAGTGCCATTTCTTTAGAACATATTTACTAGACCAGGCTTTGATGAGATGCCCAACTTGGCAATGCATGCAAAAATACCATATACGTATCTGAAAAAAAGAATGCATTAGGCTAGCCTTGCATTCCATTAATTAATTTGCGGTTAAATATATGCTTAGTTTTTTTAATTGGGTTTTCTCACATGCAGGGTGTTAGCAGTGGAGCTTGTGCAGCTAGTGTGTTGCTGAAAGATGGAGAATTACATGTTGCAAATGTAGGTGACTGTAGAGTAGTTTTAAGTAGGAATGGGGTAGCTGATGTCTTAACAATGGATCATAGAGTTAGCAGAGAAGATGAGCGCCTTCGCATTGAGAATTCTGTAAGTTAAAATATTCAATGCTTACTTATTATACATTAGATAAAAACTAAATTAACCTTGTATTACAAGATGCTTAACCAAGTTAAACATCAATTAATAACAGGGTGGATTTCTACATTGCCGCAATGGAATTTGGAGAGTTCATGGGTGCCTTGCTGTTTCTAGAGCAATTGGAGACCAGCATTTGAAAGAATGGGTCATTTCTGAACCTGAGATTAAAAAGGTTCCATTAACTTCAGACTGCCAGTTCTTGATAATGGCATCTGACGGGCTATGGGATAAGGTATGTATCTATACGTAAATGTGTAGATATTTTGGCCGAAAACAAATGTGTTAAGGGTATGATTAGTTATATTTTGTGGGAATTTTGCAGGTAAATGAGCAAGAGGCAGTAGATGTAATTTTAAGAGACAAGAATTCAGTAGAGTCGTGCAAAAAGCTTGTAGATATATCTTTCAGCAGAGGTAATATGGATGATATAACTGTTATGGCGATAAACCTTCAAAATTTTGTGACAAATGGTTGCTAGTCAGTGCTGGTAACTCGTCGAGGAATTGAATGCAAATGGCATGATTTGCTGAGGCTGTCCTCCACCATGAATCTATGCTCGGAAGTTCCTAAGATGAATGAGAATGAGATGTAAAATAGGTTCCCAGATAGATATTTTTATCATTATTCAATTTCATAAGTGGCTTTTTTTCCCCCTTTGATAACAAATATGTAAAGCAAATTCTTTTCTTGGCCAGACCCATGTTTTTACCAGTTTGATAGGCTTAATTCTATGTAAAATTAAGCTCTTTTTTTCCCCCTTTTTTGTTTCACTCATCTTCAATTTATTAAAATACCAGTCCATTTGGCCTTTAATTATTAGCTAGCATGGTATCCATGCATTTCTACCGTTTGTGTGTATATATATACACTAATTTTTTTACTTGTATTATGCTACCGATCGAACAAAATACATAAAATTATTTTATTTTGATATTCGTGTTATGTTGTTTGGCCGTTCCTCTAAGAGGTTGCATAATGCCCACTAGAATGTCCATGTATTTTATCAACAACTTGATGAATTAATTTTAAGATATAAGGATTTCTTATTATAACGAGCTACTCAAAAGGATCTCGCTAATGATTTTTAATTATCTTAATTGAAGTGATAAGCCTCTCAAAATAAATAAAATCAAAACTGAATAAAGATTCATTTAATTTTATCATTTTTTAATCAAAATTTATTTTTTATATTTTTATCAATTTTTTATTAAAAATATTATTTATTTATCTCTATTTATATTTTTAGCTAAAAATTTAGTTTGTAAATTGTTTTTTTCTAAACATCCTTTTACCTTAAAATTTTTAATTAAAAAATTAGAGAAAAAAATAAGGACCAAAATGATTAAAATGAAACAAAAAAATGAAATCAAAATCAAATAAAAAATATTTATAGACTAAAAAGATAATATTTAAAAAGAAGGACTAAAGTATAATGTTATGAAAATTTTTATAATACATATCTTAAAAATATTTAAAAATCATAAAAATATCACTATATATTAAAATGAATCATGTATATGAGTTTGTATGAATAAAACATGAGTTTGGATAAATAGTGTTTGGAATAGTGTAATAAATAATAACTAATCTTTTGATTTATTTTATTATAATATTTTTAGAAGGACTCTAATTAGTTGAGTTATAACATAAATACCGCGTGAATTCTTTTAAATAACAAAACAATAGCATGATAGGAAAGCAATATTTTTTGTCCAAGAGCGTACGATTGCCTATCTACCATTTCAAAAAAAAAAAAAAAAAAAGAAAAAAAGGAAGCAATAGTTTGTTTTTAATTTTATGGGAAAAACTGCTAATTGGTACCCCTAGGACAGCGGCTAGGGGGGATGGTTGAGGGTAGTTAAAGAAAATTAAATACACTATTTGTCTAAAAAAAAACATTGTCTTATTTGATTTTTTTCCTCTAGTTTAAAAAACTTATTGACTGTTATGCCATTTTTTTTTTTTTTTAATGAAACAACAGTTTTATATAAACTGAATCAAAGAGACACCCGAACCAATTACATCCCTTAAATTAAGAGGAGAGAAAATCCTTAACGAAGATCTGCTCAACAGAAATAAATCTTGCTCAGTTAACAAACGTTTGACATGGAAAAAAGAAAAAGATTGGAAAGAGACTGCTGAGGAATGGAGGTCCAAAGTAAGAGAAGATACATAGAAGCTATCGTCTTTAGCTTTGTTAAACTGTTGACAGAGGAGAGTGCAATCTGACTCTTAAGTGAATTTGAGTGAATTCTAAGTCCTTAGCTAGCTTAATTCCATAAATAGCGGCTAGAGCTTCACTAATGTCAACAAGAAATTGCACATCCAGTTGTTTATGGGCACAAACATTACCTGGCCAAGGTGATTCCTTCAAATGACGCCAAATTCACTGACATTATTACTTAACCCAGCATCGACATAATTGTCAACACATCAATGGCAGGAGGAGTCTATTGAGATGTCTCTTGATTGCGAGACAGGGATCAGACATATTCACCATGTCATTGACGTTTTGGTAATAAGACAATGCAGAAGCAGGAATTTTCATGACTATCACCTCATTGATTTCCTCATTGGTAATAAGACAATGCAGAAGCAGCAATTTATAGGATGCCATAAACTCCATGATAACATAGCTACGTTCTCAAAATCAAAATCAAAATCAAAATCATCAAGGTTGATAATGGAGATGCATACCAAATAGAGGAAGCATGCTTGACATAAATAGAAGTATCAATAGAGTGTGCAAACCAAACATTTTTTGGCAAAAAGACAGCTAAAGAGAATGTGATTGATGTGCTCAAAATAAATCCACACCTGCCCCAAGACTGGTCTATAATCATACCTTTTCTAATCAAATTTGATGGAATCGGGAGAATATTTTTGATAGCCCTCCAACAAAAGTGTTGAACCTTAACAGGAACATTAAGATGCCATACGTGTTTCCACAATTGCTTATCTGGTTCAAATAAGCTGTTGCATGATTCCTCATTAGCTCTGCATGACTGAAGAGCTACAAAATAAACGCTAAGAACTGAGAATTTATCATTAGCCTTATTATTCCAAATCAATTTGTCTTGAGGAGGACGAAAACTTAAAAGGATCTGTAGAATTTGCATAGCTTCAAAAGGAAGAAAAATAAGATTAATGAGGTCAGTTTTCCACACATGCATCTTTTCCATTTAACATATCAACAGTAGCGTCGACGCTCAACAATTGAGAAGGAGAACATGGTGTTTTACCAGCTGTTTCTGGGAGCCATTTATCATCCCAGATACGAATATCCCCACCAGCCCCTACCTTCCATATAATACTTTCCTCAACAATGGCTCTTCCTTTGAGAATGCTTCCATTTACACATGATATATCATCATTTTTAATTTATTCATACTTTTCTAAAATATTTTTTATGTTGAAGCCGTTAATTATCAAATTTAATCTTACATTATATTATGTCGTTACCCGACATTCGTGGGATTGCCAAAATATTATTATGATTTAGGATTTATTTGTTGGAAATTTTATTTGTTTTGGAGATGTGAGTTGTTCATTAATTTCGAAATTGCTACCTAAAAGAATTAGAAACCTAAAATCTAATAACATGTATGTACTATATATATGCTTGTACTATACTACTAGATATAGAAACCTTATGATACTCAATCTCTGTAATATCTTTACACATAAATGCAAGGATGACCTAACCTAAAGGCATTAACTTCTCATTCTGTTTATGGTATCGAGCTCTCTTTCCTAGGGCAAACAAACAATTCTTTCTCCATGGACTTTTGGCTATGCTTGTTATCCGTATATCATGCATCCTTTTTCTCATAAATTAGCTCCATGGTCTCGCACTCGCATATATTTATTGGGTATGTCGCTTCTTACAAAGGTTATCGCTACCTCAATCCTCCCACCAACAAGATTGCAATCTCTAGACATGTTACATTTGATGAGGCTTCATTCCCTTACTCGATTATTGCTTCTAGTTCTTTACATGTATGACATGCCTTCTCTCCTAAAAAGCTCTCTCATTTTTCACCTTCTTTTGGGATTGTGCTTACTCTTGACAATTTGACTAGCTCCTATGCTCTAGATGTCGTTCGGCCACTAATGTTGTTGTTTCCTCTACATTTGCATCCTCCTCATCTTTTCTTGGAAGTTCATCTACACCTTTATTGTCTTCCTCACTCGTGCACACCTCACCGACACTAGCAGTTTCTTCCTCAACTCCTTATGAGGAGTCTTCATATGCCGATCCTTTTAGAATTCACCCTATGGTCACTCATACTCAAGATGGCACCAAAAAGGCAAGGGTTTTTCCCTCAATTTTAGCTTCCACCACTACCGATCCTCTTGTTGAACTTCATTTCTTTAATAAGGCATGCAAACATCCTCACCGGCAAGCTACTATGTAAAATGAATATGATGCCCTTCTTGCCAATCATACTTGGACTTTAGTTCCACCATCTTCTTTTCCAATGAATGTTATTGGCTCTCGATGGGTGTACAAGTGTAAATTTCTAGCCGATGGTTCTCTAGAACGTCACAAAGCTTGTCTTGTTGCACAAAGGCTAGTATTGATTTTGATGAGACTTTTAGTCCTATTGTCAAGCCTCGCCACTATCCGTTCTGTTTTAAGCATGATTGTTTCATTTGGTTGGAATATACATCGGTTGGGTGTTAAGAATGCATTCTTGCATGGCTCTCTCACCAAAGAAGTGTACATGCAGCAACCTCCATGTTTTCAACACCCCACACATCCCAACTATTTGTGCAAACTTAATTGAGCTATCTAGGGACTTAAGCAAGCTCTTCGTGCTTGGTTTACCGTGTTCTCGTCCTTCATTCTTAAACATTGTTTCGTTGCAGCAAGGCTGATTATTCCATGTTCATATATCATTCTAAATCTAACATGGTTGTGTTATTATTATTCGTGGATGATATCATTCTTACCGCCTCTAGCTCTATCTTACTTCAATATTTTCTCGCACTTCTCAAAAGTGAATTTGCAATGAATGATCTATGCAGCATTTACTACCTTAGTGTTCGAGTTCGGAAAAATTCGATGGTCTTTTTCTTCATCAAGCTAAATATGTGAGTGAATTGTTACAACATGCTACGTTATTTGATTCTAAACCCGTTGCCACACCCACTGCCACTCACGTATCTCTTTTTTCTCGCTACTAGCACCCTTTTTTGGAACATTCTCTCTATCGCATCATTATTGGTGGCTTACATTATCTCACTTTCACAAAACCCGACTTTGCATATGTTGTTAACATGGTATATCAATACATGCGAGCTCCTCATGATGTTTACCGGCATTTACAAAACGCATTCTACGTTACATCAAAGGTACTCTCTCTCATGGATTTTAGCTCGTATAAAAGCGATCTCTTATCTCTTCTTACTTACAAGTGATACGGATTAGGTCGGTTGTCCCGACACTTGTCGCTCCACCACTAGTTACTCGCA